AGGACCTCAGAGCCAGGTCTCAGCACTTGGACAGGGGTGGCGAGGTGGGAGAACAGAAAAGGTGGGTGGTCTGAGACCCTGAAAAGAAGTGAGACTCCCCCCCACCCCGGGCCCCATGTCCATCTGTGCTTTGTCAGCGAAGTGACGGCTCTTACCCTGTCCCTGTCCCATGCCACCTCGCCCTTCCTTCCCATCTCCCTCCTCTGCTGATTTTACTGGGGGGCGGGGAGCCCTTTCCAGCTGACTCTATCTCTGGGTGTCCACTGGGCACCCGGGGAACAAGCGTCTGTTGCCCAACAAATAGTGTGAGTGTGGCCAGCCCATGGCCGCCGACTCCTCCGGCTACCGCCCTCCTGGGCAGACCTTTCAGTCTCCGCCTCAAGAATCCTCCAGGCCAAAAGGAAGCCCCGGTTCCTTCATTCAAGCCCCCGAGCTCCAGCCTGCCTCTGCCACCATCCTGCTGGGGGGAGCAGCTCCGGCTTCCTCCTGGGCAGGTTTTCTCCTCCTCTCGCTCTCGGTAGACCCCGATGGTTTGTTTTGTTTTGTTTTTTTGGGGGGGATCCACCCCAGTGGTGATCAGGGCTTACTCCTGGCTCTGCACTCAGGAATTACTTCTGACATGCGCAGGGACCGTGTGTGATGCAGGGGATTGAAGCTGGGTTGGCCTCACGCCAGGCCAATGTCCTCCCTGTTGCCCTCCAGTCCCAGTAGATCCCGATGGCTGAGAGTCTGCATGGAACATCCACCAATTCTAGTTTCTTTTTATTTTCTCGAATTGGGGGCCGCCCCCGGTGGTGCTCAGGGTTTACTCCTGGCTCTGCACTCAGGAATCACTCCTGGTGGGCTCGGGAAACCTAGGGGAAGGCTGGGGATGGAATCTGGTTGACTGTGCCAGGCAAGTTCTCTGGCCAATGGACTATTGCTCCGGCCCTCCATCCGCCAATTCTGCCGGAAGCCCCCAACACCAGCTGTAGAGATGTGGGTGCATTGATGCCCACAGAACCACAGGTAGTGTCTGGCCCCTCTAGAGGCCCAGAGCTCCACGCTCTCAAGAGTGACACATACACAGACCAGGAGCTGCTCATTATCCTGCCTTAAGGAAGAAGAGACGAAGTGGACAGAGACCGCTGCATGGCATACAGCCTTGCCTCTGGCCAAGATTTTAGGGACGGTTCAGGGTCCTTCCCTTCCACTGCCTTGCAAAGCCCTCTCACGGAGGGAGAGCCCGCCCTGGAGTCCTGCTGGCAGCATGCGTCTCCTTGACTCTGATGTTTATATTTTCACTCTGCTCTCCCCTGGGGGGTAACAGAAGAGGAAGAAGGGCTGAAGAGCAAGCCCAGGGGCCAAGGTGTTTGCCTTGCACATGGTTGACCCCAGTTCGATCCCTGACAGGTCCCCCGAGCACCAGTGGGAGTGATCCCTGAGCACAGCACAGGGATCTTAAGTCCCATGGGAGAGAGATCGTGCTGTATCTGTCCTTCTAACTCAGCATGAGATCCCGTGGTTCCATCCTTGTCGCGGCAAATTGCACGATTTTGTTTTTTCTTAGAGCTGCACAAAATGCCTTTCTTTCTTTCTTTCTTTCTTTCTTTCTTCTTCTTCCTTTTTATTTTTTTAAAATTTTTTATTTTTCAATGAATCACCATGAGGTACAGTTACAGACTTACAAACTTTCGTGCTTACGTTTCAGTCATACAATGATCAAGCACCCATTCCTCTACCAGCGCCCATTCTCCACCACCAATGAGTCCAGGATCCCTCTCATCCTCCCACTGCAGCCCCCCCTCCCCACAACTTCTCAATCCATTCATTCACAGCTGGGCATTTGGGTTGTTTCTGCATAGCCCCTGCTTTATTTTATTTTTTAAGTTAATGTTATTTTTATAAAGTTGTTCACGATGACTTATTATTCAATATTCCAACACCAGTCCCACCACCTTTCCACCACCATTATTTCCAATTTTCCCAGCCACCACCCAAGCCTTCACTGGTAGCAGACCTTGAATAATTTATTTTATATTGCTTGTTATAAATAATTCTCTAAAAATGATAAAGATTTCCTTAGAAGGAAGTTTGTGAAGATTGTTGTACCTCACCCTGGAGCCATTAAGCCCTCGTGTAGGAGATTACTAACACGTTGTTACAGGGTAAGCCTTGCGTGTTAAAATTTTCTTAACCGAGGTTGGTTGCTTTCTACTTGACATCCCATCCAACGTGTTGTGCTACTCCTGGTGTATCCTGGTGTGTCAGTGGTGTCGGGTATGAGATGTCATGGCCGTGTGCTCCAGGAATTCTAAAATTTTAAATGGCGTGATACAGCTGGAGTTAAATTTTTAACCCGATGATGACTTTGGATTCTGGAAGCATCTCTGCAGCTTGTTGATCTCTTTTGAGATTTTTTCATGTGACTCTGGATCATGGCTGGTTAATTAATGAGCTGAATCGGAGGCAGTTCATAGATGTGACTTCCTGGATCCCAGAAGAGCGGGGGATGGGAGGAGTTGCCCATTCCTCACTTGGTGAAAGCCTGGAGAGTTGGGTCACAAAACTCGAATACCTGAGTGTTTCAACAGATTCATCCCTGGATGAGGCTTGTCCCGAGGCTGTGGAGTCTGGCCGTGAGTATGGCGGCGATTGATTTTGGAGGTTTTCAGCCTGCCGGTGGCCCCCGCTTTAATCACTTCTAAATGTACTGTGGCATTTGGTTTCATTTCCGCGATATGTCCCCATCACCACCCTCTGTCTCCAGAACTGCATCTTCCCAACTGGAAACTGACTCCCTTAAGCTCAAACTCCTCCGAACATTCTCATGTTAAAATACACACAGCCTTTAACATCTCCTGTCCCCCTTAAAGCACCCAGCCCCACTGTCTGTACAGCCGTCACCACCACCCGTGTCCACAAGATAGCAGCTCCCTACTTCTCAACCGGCCTACTTGCACCCCATAGTCATCGTCTCCTGCTAGCGTTCTTCCTGCAGCCACATGGTGTCCCTGGCATGAGCTTGCCCGGCCGTGAGTTTATCTATGCAGCCCTGCTTCAGTCCTCTAACGTACAAAAATGGTACTCACTGCCAGGCACCAATCTAAAGCTTTGCAAATGCTAACTCACAAAGCGACTCATCCTTAAACGGTCCAGAGGTCCTAGGCTAGGGGGTGAATGTGGGCGATATAAAGTATTTGTGGGACTGGGGGTTGGAACAATAGCACAGCGGGTAGGGCGTTTGCCTTGCACGCGGCCGACCCGGGTTCGATTCCCAGCATCCCATAGGGTCCCCTGAGCACCGCCAGGGGCGATTCCTGAGTGCAGAACCAGGAGTAACCCCTGCGCATCGCCAGGTGTGACCCCCCCCAAAAAAGCAAAAAAAAAAAGTTATAAAGTATTTGTGGGACTGAAATTCAGCACCCTGGAAGGTTTCCCGGTGGTGCTAATCTGTTGGAAAGTTACAAAAGCAGCAGGTGTGGAGGGAACAAAGCACATGAGCTGATGGAGGGGACAGACTATGAGGCTGGGACCCCGCTGGCAGCGTAAGGACTGCTGCTGGCCCAGCGACAAGTTTCTTCTGCCTTTTGGCGCCGAGTGACCGCCAGGGTCGCCAACAAGCAACAGGCAAGAGCCTCTGAGTCCGTGCAGGTCTTTGCAGTCTCTGCCCCGAATGCTAATCACCCCTATTTGTTTTGTCTTGGGGGCCACACCCAGCGATGCGCAGGGGTGATCTCTGGCTCCGCGCTCAGGGATCACTCTGGAGGGCCCCTGGGAACCGTACGCGGTGCTGGGACTCGAACTCGGGTGGGCCGGGAGCAAGGCAGCGCCCTGCCCACTGGGCCATCTCTCTGGCCCCAGGCCCCTTAACGCGGTCTCCAACTTGCTATGACTTTGTGCTGTGCGTCCGTTGAGCTCTCTGCGGCTCCACAACAAGTGCAACCCCCCAAGCCTCCGTCTGCTCCCCGAAATCCTGCCCTTTACGTTTCCGGATGGACACCCGCTGCCCAGAGGGCCGCAGGTCTGGGTGGGGGGAGGACGGCGGGTCGCGGCTCACAGAAGCCCGTTATCCGGGCCGGCGGGGGCCGGGAGCGCTCGGCAGCCCGTCCCGAGTCGGGCCCGAGAGCCACCCCGCGCGGCCCACGCCGGCCTCCCTTCCGCGCCCAGCGGTCAGTTCGGAGGAGGAGACCCCAGAAGGAGAAAAAAGGCCAGAGCGCGACCGCCCGGGGCCCGGCGGCGCGGCCACGTGACCCCGAGGGCGGGGCGACCCGGGAGTCGGGGCGTGGCCTGTGGTGGGCGGGGCCAGCGCGGCGAAGGGGGCGTGGCGGAAGGGGCGTGGCGGAGCCTTGACCGGGGGCGGGGCAGGCCGGCTGGGGCGGCGAGGGCGGCGGGGCGTGGCCTGGGAGGGAGCGACGGAGCCGGGAGGGGGTGGAGGTGATCGCGGCGATGGGGGCGTGGCCCTAGGAGGGGGTGGGGCGCGGCCGGGCAGGGGGCGGGGCGGGCGGGCCAGGGCTGCGCGGGCGGCGGGGCGTGGCCTGGGAGGGAGCGACGGAGTCCGGGAGGGGGTGGAGGTGATCGCGGCGATGGGGGCGTGGCCCTGGGAGGGGGCGGGGCGTGTCCCGAGGAGGGGGCGTGGCCCAGGGACGGGGCGGGGCGAGGCAGGGCAGGGGGCTGGGCGGGCGGGCCGGGGCTGCGCGGGCGGCGGGGCGGGGCCCTGGGACGGGGCGGGGCGAGGCCGGGCAGGGTCGGGGCGGGCGGGCCGGGGCTGCGCGGGCGGAGGGGCGTGGCCCTAGGGACGGGGCGGGGCGAGGCCGGGCAGGGGGCGGGGCGGGCGGGCTGGGGCTGCGCGGGCGGCGGGGCGTGGCCCTGGGACGGGGCGGGGCGAGGCCGGGCAGGGGGCGGGGCGGGCGGGCCGGGACTGCGCGGGCGGCGGGGCGCGGCCCTGGGAGGGGGCGTGGCTCCGGGGCGGGGGGCGGGGCCCGGGCGGGGCGGGGCGGGGCTTGCGCGCCGCGGCGGCGATGGCGGCCGACGGGGACTGGCAGGATTTCGACGGGTTCCGGGGGGCGCCGCGGAGCGCCCCGGGCCGGGACGAGGGTCCCGCGGGCGCCGAGGCGGGGGCCGGGCCGGGCGGGGGCGGCGGCGGCGGCGGCGCGGGCTTCCGGGCGCTGAGCTGCAGCCTGGAGGAGAAGCTGAGCCGCTGCTTCCGCCCCGCCGGGCCGGGCGCCGAGACCCCGCGCGCCGCCCCGGGGCCCATCACGGAGCGCGGCCTGCTGCGGGGGGACGAGTGAGTGGGGGGCGGCGGGGCGGGGCGAGGGGACGGGGGCGGGGCCTGCTGCAGGGGCGGGTGCGCGATCGGGGCCGGGGGCGTGCGGGGGGCGGTGCGTGCACGGGGCCGGGGGCGTGCGGGGGTCGGGGGCTCGCTCGGGGGCCGGTGCGTGCGGGGGCAGGTGCGTCCACCCCCGCGCCCCACCGGGGGGCCCCGCCCCGCCCCAGACCCTGGACGCGGGGTCTGAGCGCTCCTCTCCGGCCCCCGGGACCCCCGCCCTGGACCTCCCCCGCCCCCCGTCCGCCTGGAAGACCACCCAGGCGCGCTGCACGCGGGATGCGGCTCCTCCCGCCGGCCAGCCGGGCGCAGCTCTCGGCGCATCCTCCCTCCGCGCTCCTCGGGAGCACGGGTCCAGCAGCTCGGGCGGGCGCGGGGCTGCCCGGAGGGCCCCTGGGTGGTCAGGCAGCGGCCGGCGTGTCGGGGTGACGCGAGCCCTCGCGGACATGCGCAGCAGACAGACGTGCTAGGAGGGACCAGGGCACCCGCGGCCCCCACCCCGCGGGGCCAGCGGGAGTCCGGCCGGCCCCCCCCCCTGGCTGGAGCGGAGAGCAGGTGGACAGCGCCCACCTGGGCAGCCGGGGCGTTGGGAAGGGCAGGGCCCCCCGCAGTGGCTGCAGAGCTGCTTTGGGGCTGGCCACTGCTGTCATCGTCCTCCTGTCCCGTTGACACCTTTCCCCCACCCCCCCCCCCCTTTTTTTTTGAGCCACACCTGGCCGTGCTCAGGGTTTACTCCTCTTTCTGTGCTCAGGAATTACTCCTGGTGGGCTTGAGGGAACCGAAAGTGGTGTCTGGGATCAAACCCGGGTCCGACGTGGGCCGAGGACATGCCTTACCTGCTGTCCTAGCTCTTCTCTTGCACCGCCTGAGTGTAGAATTATTAAAATTTTTTTTTTTTAAATTGCGGGCCACACATGCCCATGGCCGGGGAGGGGCCTGGCTAGGCCACCCTGCCCTGCTCCAGGCTCTCTCTCCAGTCCTGGTTTCAGTTTCTGTTGGCTCTGGGGCCCGCCTGGCTCTAGCTGGCCTCTTGGGCGCCACTTGGGCTGTGAAGCCTACAGCCCTTTGCCCTGCAGGCTGTCCTACTGCCCAGGGTCCCGGCAGGGTACCCACGAGGAGGCAGCTCCCCTGGAGGGCCCTAGCAGCTGGCCCTCCCGCTGGCCTCCCATGCCCTCCCACGCCCAGTGCCCTTGGCTTTCTGGAGAGCTCCAGGCTCGTCTCCAGGGCAGTGGCCGGCTCCCGGCTCCCTTCCTGGCATGAGAGTGTCCCCTCCGCAGCGAGTTCCACTCCCGGGCCTGTGCAGTCCCCAGCCAGGAGAGGCGCCCTGGGCCCCGGGGGTGCGACTCGGTGCTTTGGGCCCGGGTGGCCCCACAGCTGGGGGATCCTGGAGGCGCTGGTGGAACCCCGAACAGCAGCCAGGGAGCCTGGCGTTTGCTTCAAACCCGCATCCTGGTCTTGCTCTTGTTCCTCATAGCTCGCACCCTGCTTGGTTCTCTGACAGTGATTCACGTCCCTCCAGCCCCTAAGTAGCTTACGTGCCATTTAAATCCCCATTAAATCTCATCTCTTTTTTTTATATCACAGATTTTATTAATTTTGTTGTTGATTTTTGGGGGCCGCTGAAGCACTGTGACAGGAGCCCCAGGGCCCCTCGCGGTGGTTCTCAGCTCCTGCGAGGCTCCGGGGAGGTGCTGTTTGCTCCTGCCCTGCCCGGGGCATCCGGGCCACCCTCAGGCAGCACCCAGCGGTCCTGGGGACCTTGTGCCGGGGCCGGCCGCATCTCTCCCTGGGTCCTCTCAGTGTCCGATCACGCTGACCTACCTACCGACCGGTTCCTTTGGTGCCGACACCTGAGTCTGGGACGGAGCTGGGCTGGGGTTCCCCCTGCCGTGTTTGCCTTTTCGTGACTTGCCCCCTTCACAGTAGGGCCTGTAGGACCCGCCAGGGCTGGTGGGTGTGTCAGCCTGCTCCAGGCCTCACTCTGCATGAGGGCGGCTGATCCCTCTGTGGCCCCGGGGCTCCAGCCTGTCGCCTTGGTCTTACCACGTGTCCTTTCCTCTCTGCCCCCTGCCTCCCCGGGTGCTGGCCAGGAGTCGGGGGATCTAAGCGGCCTGCTTTTTTCCTCGGACTAGTTTGCATCGCAAATGGGGCACATCCCAAATCAGGCCTGGAAGTCTGGTCTCACACTGCCCCGAATTCTCTCTCCCGCGAGCTTCCCCGGCCTCCCCATGGAGTGAGTGCAGGACGCCGTGTCTCTGGGGCTACGAGAACCCAGGGCTGGGGTTATCTGAGATCTGGGCTGGGACTGTCACTGGTCACTACCCCGTGACTCTGCCCCCCAGCCATGCACTCATCTCCCTGGTGGCCTGGGCAGTGCCGGCGCGGGGAAGACCCCGGGAGAGCCCCCACCCCTACCTCCCTCAGATTTTCTCCCCCTTTGCTGTCCTTCCTTCCATCTTAGCCCGTGGGGCCTTTTTTGAGAAACCCAGAGCACTGCCTGTCTGCTTTGGTATTCGGCACCCAGGTACCAGCTCAGCAGAGGTGCGTGGAGGGCTGGGGCCGTAGCACAGTGGGGAGGGCACTTGCCTTGCATGTGGTAAACCCAGGCTTGATTCCCGGCCCCTCACCTCCATAAGGTCCCCCAGGCCCTGTCAGCAGTGGTCCCTGAGCTCAGAGCAAGGAGTAAGCCCTGAGCACTGCTGGGTGTGGCTGAACACTCAACCCAACCCAGCCATACCCTACCCAACCCAACTCAACCCGACCCCGACCCAACCTGACCCAGCCCGACCCTACTTGACCCAACCCAACCCGACCCAACCCGACTTGACACGACCTAACCCAACCTGACTTGGCCCTACCCAACCCGACCCGATCCAACCCAACTCCACCCAGTCTGACCCTACCCAACGCAACCTGACCCAACCCAGCGTGACCCAACCCAACCCTACCCAACCCAACATACCCTACCCGACTCAACCCAACCCGACCTGACTCAACCCAACCCGACCCAACCCAACCCAACCCGACCTGACACAACCCTACCTGACCCAACCCAGCCTGACGCAACCCGACCCTACCTGACCCAACCTAACCCTACCCAACCCAACCCTACCCAACCCAACCCGACCCAACCCGACCTGACCCAACCTGACCTGACCCGACCCAACCTGATCTGACCCAACGCAACTCCACCCAACCTGACCCTACCCAACCCAACTGACCCAACCCAACCTGACCTGACCCTACCCAACCCAACCCTACTCGATGCGACCCGACCCAACCCGACCCTACCTGACCCAACCCGACCCGACCTGACCCAACCCCACCTGACCCAACGCAACCCTACCTGACCCAACCCAACCCTACCCAACCCCACCTGACCCAACCCAACCCTACCTGACCCAACCCAACCCGACCCAACCCAACCCTACCCAACCCAACCTGACCCAACCCAACCCAACCCAAGCAAACCCGACCCAAACCTACCCAACCCAACCCGACTCCATGCGACCCGACCCAACCCGACCCAACCCCACCTGACCCAACCCGACCCTACCTGACCCAACCCAACCTGACCCAACCCTACCCAACCCAACCCGACCCAACCCAACCCAAGCAAACCCAACCCAAACCTACCCAACCCAACCCAAGCAAACCCGACCCAACCCTACCCAACCCAACCCGACTCCATGCGACCCGACCCAACCTGACCCAACCCCACCTGACCCAACCCGACCCTACCTGACCCAACCCAACCTGACCCAACCCAGCCCTACCCAACCCAACCCAACCCGACCCAACCCAACCTGAACAACCCGACTCGACACGACCCAATCCAACCCGACCTGACCTGACCCAACCTGACCCAACCTGACCCGACCAAACCCAACCTGACCCGACCCAACCCAACTCGACCCAACCTGACCCTAACCAACCCAACCTGACTCAACCCAACCTGACCCAACCCAACCCAACCCTACCCAATCCAACCCGACTCCATGTGAACCGACCCAGCCTGACCCGACCCAACCCAACCCAACTCGACCCAACCCGACCCAACCCTACCCGATCCAACCCTACCTGACCCAACCCGACCCAGCCCGACCTGGGGAGCTCTGGGCATACTGAGTCCAAGCTGCTTTCTCCTCCGCAGGATCTGGAATGCACTGACGGATAACTTCGGGAACGCCATGCCTGTGGACTGGAAGTCCTCACACACCAGGACCCTGCACCTGCTCACTCTGAACCTCTCCGAAAAAGGGGTGAGTCGGGGAGAGCGCAGAGATGAGCCACCCGCAACATCTGCCCTCGCCCCTGAGCCCCTCCCCCAGTGCCCACAGCACTGCCTTCCCTGAGCGGTTCTGTTGTGTCAGGACCCACGACCAGGGCACGCTGGGACAGCACAGCAGCCAGCGGTAGTGGGGATGCCCGGGGCATCCGACTGCCCGGGGACCCCTGGAAAGCCGAGGTCACTCCTGTCTGGAGCCCAGAGGGGAAAGCGGGGTGTGCCTGGGGCTCTGTCCCTCGCTCAGGGGGTGGAAGAAGGTTCTAGCTGGTGGCAGCTGACACGACAGAACCGCTCAGGGAAGGCAGGAAGTTGGCTCTTCCTTTCACTGCTGTCCAAGGTGACACATGTCTTGGTTGGGTGGGGCCTCTTTGGGGCCGTTCCAGAACCTTCTGTGGGCAGCCCTGTGTCCAGCCGTGGCAGGCAGCTGCTGGGTGGGAGTGAGTGACGGGGCCCGAGGCGTCCAGGGCAGGTTTGGGAGGCGGACAGGGATTCCAGCCCAGCCGGTGCCGGCCCCGGGGAGCAAGGGCCTCTGGGCTCCTGGTTCAGTGCTCATGGGCACTGGGCCGCTTGGCTCCCAGGCGCCTGGTGTGAATCTGCATCTGTGGCAAAAGCTTGCCCACCCATGTCCCTCCTCGGCCTCTTCCTCCTCCCACAGGGAGCTTCCCCTCTGGGCTGGGCTTAGTCGGAGGCACCTTTTGTGTTTTCAGGAGGGGAAATGGGATGGTCAGGTCGAGTCTCCCTGGGGGGTCGCCAGTAGCATCCCCGAACTGTGGACGTGGGTCACGGCATGGCGTCTGGGCGTTGGGGCAGCTGGCATGGGGTTGGCTGCTCACTGCCCCTGCACGCCCCGCCGATGCCCTCGTCTCAGCTCCTGCAGGCTGGGAAGCTGGGCTCTCTCTGTGGACCCGTGGGATGGAGGCTTTGGGGAGGGGAGCGACGGGCGGGACACGGAGCCCCTCCTTCACAGCCCTGCTGCTGGGGTCAGCCCCGGCCTCCCCCTGTTCCTGCAGCGGACCCCTGCCCTGCTCCCTGTTTTCAGTCTTGGCTGGAGCGTGAGCTGCCACGGCCTCCGGACAAAGGGCAGTTTTCTGGGGAAGGAATCTCTGGGCCGGGTCCCCCTCCCTGCGCCCGCCCCCAGGTCAGAACGCGCAGGCCGCCCAGAGGGGGCTTTCACCCCCCACCTCCAACCTTGAACCCAGCGCTTTTGCTTCCTCGGAGCCGTCAGGCTGTTTCTGCCAGTGGCTACTGGGGGGTTCCGGGGACAGGGGGAGGTGGAGGTGGGTGGGGGGGGTGTGTGCCCGCAGGGGCCGTAGGCATGCAGATGCCCCCCAGCTCTGGTGCCTCCCCTGGCTTCTGGGCACACCCGCTCTCTGCCCGCTCCTCTGCCTGTCCCGGGTGCCCCTGCCCCGGATGGACGCGGCGTGGCCTGACTCTCACCTGCGCCCGGCCCTCCGCTGTGCCCCTTGGGCTGTGGACGGCCGTCCTGGTTGGACGGCGGCCCGTGGTGGGTGGTGCTTGTGATGGCGCTGCCCCGCGTGTCCAGCCTCCCACGGAGTGTGGCATCGTCGGGCGTGAGGGACCCCGGCCCGTGGTCCCAAGCCCCCGGATGTGGCCAGTGCAGGGAGCTCAGCCCAGGCGGTGTGGCGGCCGGTGCCGGCCTCTGGCGAGTGTGTCCCGGGGTGGCCTCACCCGAAGGGGCCTGGGCGCGCAGGCGGTCACCCCCGGGCCAGTGCAGGGGACCAGCATTCCAGCTCAGGTCGGGTGCGGAGGTGGGGGTCTGGGAGAGAGGGGCGTGCACAGCGCAGCCCCCGCCTGGGGCCCCCTCCCGCCAGCACTTGTTCCCAGGGGGTTTCCACCTCGCGCCCCTGAGCCCAGTTGCTGCCCCGTCAGCCCGCCTCCCCGTCCTGAGTCCTGACCACTCAGCTTCCCCACCGTCTGCCCAGCACTGAGCAGGGGCCCCCGTCTGGGCCGGGGGGCTGGAGTCTGGCCGAGTGTCCCCCCGGGGCTGCTCTGACGCTGCCCACACCTGCAGCTGGGTGACCGCCTGCTCCTGGAGGCGGCGGACGACGAGGAACTGCGGGAGCAGCTGGACATGCACTCCATCATCGTGTCCTGCGTGAACGAGGAGCCGCTCTTCACGGCCGACCAGGCAAGGGCCGGGGGTCTGCTCGCGGGGGCCGCGGGGGGAGGGGCGTCGCCGGCATTATTCCTGTGATTTTGCAGGTGTCCTTTTCTTCTGTTGAGTGGCTATGTGAAATTCTCTTTTTTTTCTGCAGTTAAAGGGGGATTTGGCTGCCCCCGGGGGCCATGTCTTGTTTTAAGTGGCACTTTCTGGTGCTCACCCCCGATTCAGTGCCCGGCGTGCCACATGCCCCTCCTGCTGTGCTCAGGGCTCCGTGTGTCGGACCTGGGTTGGCCTGGTGTGACCTTTGGTGTTTGGGCCACACCCAGTGGTGCTCAGGGCTCATCCTGGTGCGGTTCAGGGGAGCGGGTGGGGTGCCCGCGTGAGCCGGCGTCGGCCAGGTGCTGGCTACAGACGCAGCCTTTGCACTGCTGCACCTTCTCGTTCCGATGCCGAGTTGACGGTGTGACTCTAGGTCGAGCCCTGAGCTCCAGGAGAGCTGCAGGGACCAGCCCCGCCTGGGGACGGCTCTGACCTGGCCGCCCACAGCCCCCGGGCGCTGCTAGAGAGACCCTCCCCGTCCCCCATCAAAAGGACGAAAAGTCGAATCAGCTGGAGCTGGCCCGGCCCGGGCGTCCGGTTTCCTGTCTCTGGACTGGTTCCGGCCGGTCCGTGGTACTGCCCTGTGTGGTGTCGCTGGCCCGGGGACTGCCCCGTGCTGCCGCGTCGCCGTGGCCGGTTCAAGCACACAGTACGCCTGGCCTCTGACCCGGTGTTCCTGCCGCCGCCCGCCCCCGCCCTGGCCCCGCTGCCTCACGTGGGTCGGGGGCGTCTCCCCTCCTGCCCTGCCCGGTGCGGGGCCTGACCGTGCTCTGTGTCTTCCGGAAGGTCATCGAGGAAATCGAAGAGATGATGCAGGAGTCCCCCGACCTGGAGGACGACGAGGCCCCCGCGCAGCCCGACCGGCTGTCCACGCTCTCCCGGGAGATCCAGACGCTGCAGCCGGCCGGCGACGGCTACGAAGCACGTAAGGGAGGCCCAGCCCTGCCCGGCGCCCGGGGCCTGGGGCTGTCTCCAGGCCAGCGTCCCCGGCCAGTGTCGGGGCTGGGGTGTGGCATGAGATGGAGTCTGCATGCAGTGTGTGTTGTGGTGCTGTGTGCTGTGTGCGGTGTGTATGGTGTGATGTGTGTGGTGTGTGTCGTTTGTGTGGTGTGGGTGGAGTGTGTGTATGGTGAGTGTGTGGTGTATCTGTGTGTTCAGGGTGTGTGGGGTGTACGTGTGAGTATGTGGTGTGTGGTGTGTGTGTGTATGGTGTCTGTGTGCAGTGTGTGTGCCTGTGGGTGTGGGACGTGTGTGTGGGTTGTGTTTGTGTATGTGGTGTGTATGTGGTGCGTGTTGTGTGTGAGTGTATGGATGTGTGGTGTGGGGTGTGTTTGTGTGTATCTGTTGTGTGCGGTGCGCGTGTGTGTGGGGTGTGTTTGTACGTGTGTGGGGTGTGTATGTTGTGTGTGAGTGTATGGTGTGTGGTGTGGGGTGTGTTTGTGTGTGTGTGGTGTGTGTGGTGCATGTGAAGGGGTTTGTTTGTGCATGTGTGTGTGGGGGTGTGTGTGGGGTGTGTGGGGTGTGTACTGTGTGTGTTGTGTGTGTGCGGTGCACGTGTATGGGGGTGTTTGTGTGTGTGTAGGGGGCGTGTGGGGTGGCGTGCGTATGTGTCCCCCTGCACGGGCGCCTCCTCTGTCCGCTGGCCCCAGGAACAGGCCGGCGTGGCGTGGCTCTGTGTGTCGGATCGGCTCTCCTGCCCCGGGCACCTGTCCTTCCTGCTGGGTGCGGGTGGCCTCGCTGTGTCCCTCTCCCGCGGGGGACGGCCTCACGCCCCGCCACCAAGTGTCCCCGGGAGTGCCCCCCAGTCCCTTCGGTGCCAGCAGCCGTCCCCGGGGCGGGGGGGTCTCCTCTCAGCGGCCCCCCGGCCTCACGCCTCGCGCCCCCTCTGCCCTGCCCTGCCCTGCCCTGCCCTGTGCCGCGCAGGGGTGAGGCGGCTCCCGGCCTCGGAGCTCACGGAGCTGCTGGAGCAGATCGAGAACGCCATCAAGGAGTTCTCGGAGGAGCTGGTGCAGCAGCTGGCCCTGCGCGACGAGCTGGAGTTCGAGAAGGAGGTGAAGAACAGCTTCATCTCCGTGCTCATCGCCGTGCAGAACCGGCAGAAGGAGCACCGGGAGACCGCCAAGAAGAAGAAGAAGCTCAAGAACGGCGGCGCGCAGAACGGGAGGCACGAGCGGGGCCACGCGCCGGGCACCGTGAGTCAGATGGGCAGCGCCCGGCAGGCCCAGCGCGGCACGGCACAGCCCGTCCCGGGGCGGGTGGGGCCCCCCAGCCTGGGCAGAGCCCCGGGTGCGGCCCCTCGCCCCCTGCCTGGGAGCACAGCCGCGGGCCCCTGCAGGGAGCCGTGCTCTCTCGGCAGCGGGTTCGGGTTTCTGGAGGGTTCTGGAAGGCGGGAGAAGGGCTCGGGAGGAGGAGCGAGTCTTCGGAGGAGCGTGGACGCCCCAGCTGTGGCTGCGTGCACGGGCTCGGGTCCGTTTCTCTCTCTTTGGCTTCTCTCTTCTGAGCTGCGCTGTGAGCAGCGGCGTGGGTGGTGCGTGTTGAGGGCGCCGAGCCCGGGAGCTCCCCTGGTTTGCCGTCGCGTGGCTTCGAGGGGCGTTGGGCAGCCGTGGGCCACCAGCAGTGCGGCCTGTGGTGTACAGAGCCGGGTCACGGCAGGGGAAAGCGGCTTGAGAGCGCGTTGGCTGCGTTGTCAGGGCTCGCCGGTGGCGCCCCTCTTTTGCCGTGAGACGCTGTCACAGACGCGGTCAGGGAGTGTTTCCCTGCCGAGCCTCCGGCCACCGCCTTTCCCTTTGGTCCTCGGAGACCCTCCCGATTGCCGCCTGACCCCGAAGGCACGTGCTTGCCTCCGAGCGGCGGCCACTGCTGCTTCGAGTTGGCTCTTCTGGGTCTGCACCAGGAGATGCCCTGCCCTTGCCGGGCGCAGAGACGGGCCTCGTGACGAGGGTGGGGACGGAGCGTGCCGCTCCAGGGCGAGCCTTCGCACACATGCTGGGTCTCACCGGGCCGCCCACTCCTCGGCGTTTGCTCGGTCAGCATCCACCTGAGCTTAGGACCTGGCCTGGAAACTGACTTTGGCAGCGTCCTCAGACGCGTGTTTCCGGCTCGCCCACTGGCCGGATGGTCCTGGAGCCCCCCGAGGGCCAGCTCTGGAGACGAAGGAGCCCACACCACCGTCTCGAACGCTCGGGGCTGGAGAGTTCGCTTGACGCTAGCAGGACAGGGGCCAGAGCGATAGCACAGCGGGGAGGGCGCTTGCTTTGCACACGACCAACCCGGGTTCAATCCCCAGCGCCTCATTTGGTCCCTCGGGCCCCACCCGAGGGACCCCTGAGCACAGGGTGAGGAGTAAACCCTGAGTAACCCATTGTTGGCGCCCCTAACCCTCCCTGCCCCAAACTAAAAAGCAAAAAAACAAAACAAAACAAAGCTCATTGCTGCTTGGTGGGTAACGTACTATTTCATCTAGCAGATCTCCCTGACAGTCCCCCTAGTACCAGCCGCTGCCCAGCGCCCGGAGGGGACAGGCCAGACCCCCCCATGTTGCTTCTGGGCAGGAGTGGGCCAGGGAGAAGGAAGTGACAGGCCACGTGCGCTCAAGGGCCCCCCTGTGGCTGTGGAGTCCCCCCGCGACACGTGGGCCGCTGGGCACCTCCCAGGCTCACCCGGCAGTCAGTGCTCGTGCGGGTTTGACCCTCGCTGGAGCTTCTGTGTCTGGGGTGGGCGGCCTGTTGCCCCTGGGGGAGTCGCGCCCACTGTCCCCGATGCTCATGTCTCGGGGAGGGGTCACGTCCAGGCCTTGCCTTCCTCAGCTCCGTCACGCCTTTTTTTGTGCTCATTTCTCTTTTTTCTCTGTGGAGTTATGCTGGCCACCGAGATTCAGCACTGCCGTCCGTGGGAGGGCTGCGTGCAGGCCGACCCCGCGCCCGAGTGTGCGTCTCCCTGCACCACGGCCAGCCTCCGTCTCGCAGCCCACCCCAGCCTCGGCCCTGGCCTGCTGCTCCCTGCAGACCAGCTCTGTTGCCTTTGGGGTCTCTGCTCCCTTCCTGGGGTTTTCTGCGTTCCACCCCGGGAGAGATTACACTCGGTCCTCTCCTGGCTGACATCACCGAGTGCGTGACCCTCCTGTCCCCTGCACGCAGGAGCAGATCGGACTCTTCCGGCTGTGTCTTACCGCGTGCTCATGGGAACGGGGGTCCCTGGGGTTAGCTCTGTGATGTTTGGCTTGCCGTGCTGCCGTGGGTGCGTGTGGGTGTGTATGCTCTGTCCGGGGCCCGGTTTGTGTCTCTGTCACATAAGCCCTGAGTGACGCTGCCCCGCTGGCCGTCCACCCTCAGCCCCGTGTCACACCACCCAGGCCCTGCTTTCACTCCCAGCTAGCTAGGGGCCGGCCATCCCTCTGCCTGCGTGATCCTAGCACACAGGTCATGTCCGTGTGGCACATGGCAACTCCAGGCCTCCAGGGACAGAGCTGAATAGCTGAGGCAGCGGCTCTGGCCTGCTGGCTGACCCTGGACACAGCCGGATACACCCCTGCTTGAGTCTAAACAGTAGGTGAAGGGAAAGGTGTGAAGGCCACGAGTGGGCCCTCAGAGGCAGTGGCCACTCTGTGGTCTCTAAGATCGACGGTGAAATGCTGCCTGCCAGTGCATGGTGTTTCTTCCCGTAGGGCCCCCTCCAGGGCTCCTAGACCCCCCAGGGGGAGGTACCCCTGCCGGTGCCTGCACAGAGCACTTTTTTTTTAAAGTTAAAGATTATTAACGTTTATTAATCTGGGCCCTGCCTTGTGTAAACTCACACGAAGGGGGTGGGGGTCACGGCACTCAGAGCGGCGGTGGCTCTATCTCTCCCGCCACCCGCGTTCGGTAGTCTCACCCTTCTCCCACCCCGGAGAGGTCGATGGCGATGGTCAGGCGGAGGAAGGAACGAGGGCCAGGCTGGTAGGTATTAGTCGTAGTTTATTCTGATTCTCTCCTCATCTGTCTCTGCTCCCTCTCTCCTTCTCTCTCTGCCCCCCATTCTTCCTCCCCCAGCTACTTCATTCTCCTTCTCCATCCCCCTTCATCCTCCTCTCTCTTCTGATCCTCTCTGAACATCCAGCCCACTCCTTAAATCCTCTCTCCATGTGGAATTGGGGAAACAATTACACATAGGTGCAGTCACAATCAGTAGGGGTAGAAATCTTAGCCTCAGGGAAGACCGCTCCTAGGACAGATCCTTCCTCAGCAGGAGGACCCACCCTAGAGCATAATCCCATGGGCGTGCCTCTCCTCTCCTTGTCCGACAAGCATATAAGAATATAATATAAATTATAGAATTGCTCTCCTAGGGCCATCTCGATCTCAGACTACGGTGCTCAGGCCAGATCGTCTTTCCCACCCCTAGCAGGATCCTAGTCTCGTCGTTACCTTTGGATCATGACAGCATTTGTCTATGATCAAACTCTTAACTTATAGTTAAGAATCGTGGCACTTTGGCCTGGCCCATTTCACTGCCAGGGTAGCTCACCGCTTGCCCTGGGTCCATTCAGTCCCTCGTCGGGACCCTGCTTTTGGGGTGTTAGGGACTAAGGGCGACTGAGGCTTAAGTCAAGAAAGCAGATGCCTGGGAGTGAATAATATTCAAGGCCAATCAAATCCTAAGTTACAAAGCATAATGTTAACGGTCTTCCTGTATCTATACAAAAAGGATATTACTCTAAGGTAAACTGTTCATAAGGCATAAGGAGAGGAGAAAGGCAATATTTCACTCATACATATAAAATCATAGATTTCTGGGAAACTGATCTTACAAATTAACAAAGTCTGATTAAGGGGAAAGCTAATTATCTGGGTGGGAAGGAGAGCATAGGGAAGACTGTTTACATATAAACACAATGGAAGTAGAAGTGCTTCAGGAGCACTGTGATGGGTGTAACCAGATTAATGGGTGTAACCAGATAAATCTAAGCTTCTTGTGGAAGGACAAAGCAATGTTACCCAACACTGCCTTATAGTTTATATACCAAATTATGTAGTACTATATATTCTGTATAGAGTTTTCTATATGTTCACTCGTCTTCATGACATGTTTTGAACCGTTTGAGATCAAAATGTGAACTTGCCACTTTCCTTCTATTCTGGCTTCATGTTACCACTCATACTTACCTATCTCTGTTCTCTATCTTAGTCTACCTTCATTCTGTTCTCTTTCCATAATAACCTGTTCTTGGTTTAGGGATATGAGAGCCTCCCTTTACCAGTAGAGAGTTGATTGCATATCTACTTTGAAATATCTATTTTGAAACCTCTTGTTTTTTTTTCAAAAGGAGATTGTTGTGGAAGAAGTTCTTTGCCCCAGATGCTAATTCTAACTTGAGAATTGGGAGACTTGCTTTTAAAGTTTTGGCTCTGTCCAGATGTTTGTTGATTTGGGAGTCACGCGTGGAACACTTTCTGCCGTTACCCGCCTGTGCGGTGTACATGAGATCCCAGCAGCTAATGAAGAACAGCAGTGGGGTAGACCAGTTGTCTCCAGACTGGGCAGCGGAGGAAAGAAGTATGTTGGTAGCACCCTTGCTTATAGCTGACGCAGTGATGAGAGGCAGCTGGGGGGGAGGAGGGAAGGGCTTGGTTCACCCCCCTTCAGGTCGAGGAGCTTGAGAGGTTACAGAGCTGCCCCTTCCATGAGCCTGAGGATAAGTGATGGCACATTTTCACAGCCCCTTGTTACTTCCCTCTGTCTTTCTTCCCTGCAAAGAACAGCCCTGAAAGTTAGTTAGCATTACGGCCAGAAAATGGAGGTCATTAGGGGGAGGAGAGAAACGGTTGAATAATTCACACCTATGAATTATGAGACATGCTGAATAAGAAACTTATTTCCCAGTAGTGTAGCTTTTAAGAGAGTGTTGCGGAGAGAAACAGGCCAGCCGCGGCTTCCGGATCGTCATCACGTTCTGCTCGTGCCCTGGCGGTTATAATTTGATGTCTGGCTGGGGAGGGTGAACCTCCAGCACCCAGCGTCCACGTGGTCAGACCCTGAAGTCTGGGAGGTGTTTGTTGATTGTTACCAGGACAAAAGTTCATGCAAAAGCCAGGCAGGTCAGGAAATTCTACTCTTGCTGCATATTTAGAATTTCTGTAAACATCTTGAAAGAATTTGTAAATTGTCACCATGATCTTATTTTGGCTTTTGTGACCCTGACCACGTTTGAAACAAT